TCGGGCGTGAACTTTTTTTGAATAATTTGGGTTATAACAAATACTTTTTCTTTATTAACTTGGTCGAGACGTAAGATGTGTCATCCTCTTACTGATTAAAAGCCACACTGTTTCTTCTCATGTTTCGGGCCGCGCTGTGGTACCTCATTTCACTTGCATCTGTAAACATAGCTAAAAATCGGCAATGATGGCCTTGTCTGTGCTGGTCTAATAGGTCTTTGAGGCGACGTACCGAGCGCACCGAGTCTGGTACTGGTCGGGCGGCGAGCTCCCCTTGCTCGCCGTTCGCAAGCCCGCTAACCAGAGGTGGTCGCTTTCCGCTTTTTATTATTTATTTTAAAAGTATAAATTAGTCGTTATAAATACTCTGAAAATTATTAAAATAAAATGCGCAAAAGATTGTTTACAATAATTTCCTGTTTGTCTTTTTAAATGACCAAATTTTTTTTATATGTAGTTCATATATCGTATACTTAACTATTTCGCGCTATAGCTCAACTAGTTATAAGCACCGGTAGGAGCTTATATTTATGGGTAGCAACGTGCGACACAACACGGCAAACGTGGCACAGTCGACTGACAATAATTTATTGAGATGATCTCTTATTTCAATGCATGCAGATATGTATGGAAGCTTCCATTTATGATGAATTTATTTCATTATTAGAACATTACATATGCACATACATTACATATTTGGAAATGACCTTCTGAAAATTAATATATTAATTAACACTCATGGCTCTATCAATAAATTACTTCAACATGACATGACATTATAAATCATTTATTAAATGACCCATTAATGTCAATTGATTAATTTGAGATACGAGATACTATGTTGCAGAACTTAAGCTGATAGCCAATAGCTTAAGATTAGTTGCAATATTATAATTTAAGTCTTAAGTCTTTTACAAATGAAAGGTAAAAATCGCTCTAATTTTTTATGGAATAGGAGACAAAAGAAGATTTGGTATAGCCTGGTTTAAGGCAGGTATCTCTAAAACACGAGTGAATAGGTTACTTAAGGCAAGCGTGCTTTCGTTGCAGGCTGCATCATCGCTTATCAAAAGGAGAGAAAGAGGCCAAACGCCAGCCAAATGAAAATAAAAAAAGATCATTAGATGATAAGCAATCACACACCTATGGACATCTTTTTTTTGACGAGGGATTTCGTCTTGCGGGTGGGACGAGAAGTGATGGTAGAATCTGATTGACTGACTAAAAACAACCTCTGTTCTCCTCCTGTTCGTGAGATTGTTGTCTACGCAACAAGGGGAAGATATATCATATAAAGATAGTAGTTTTGAGAATGAATTGAGATCGAAGATGGTGGCTGAAATTAATCTCAATAATACTTGTGGATAAAAATTTCAGTTAGTTTCAGTTCCAGTTTCTTTACAAACTGCAGTAAAAAAAAACAACTTTGCCTAATAGTCCGTAATCCGTCTCAGAGATGAATGATAGAATATTCGAGAAGAAGGAAAAATAGTTTCCACAGTCTTTCATGTTTACAAGAAGACACAACTTAATATCAAAACGCGCTGATTGCTTACCATCAGGTAATCCGTCTGCTCGTTTTCCAACCTATTGCATAAAAAAAAAAAATCTAATAGGTATTATAAAGTGGAACATTTTACTTAGTTTGCCCGTTTGTATAAAAATACTCTGAAACTACTTGACCGAATTTAAAAATTGATTCACTATTGGGAAATTTACACTGCCATAAATGACGCGAGTCTTTGCAAGGCACAGCTAGTATACAATGAAGTACAAAGCGTTTCTAATACACAAATTTCACTTCCACACATCAGAAAGCGACCTTCCAATCTATAATCCATACCCAATAGTCTGTATCTAGGTAACAATGAGAACAGATCCAATCGCAATGTATCCCAAATGTCGCAAGTCTTGAGGCCGTCCGAAATGTTACGCGGTCGACGGTGGCCAGATGGATCATTACATCTGAACAAGTTGCGCAAACGCACCTAATTGTACATATTTGCATGTCGTATTTAATCCATAAGTGTTCTAGTTCTAGTTGATGGAGTTTTGCATGTTTGTAATAGTTGTTTGTGACTGTGGTTAGTTTTTGACTGGGTAGTTAGTCAAGTCAAGTATAAGACTGGACATTTGACGCGGTGGTTGGCAACCGACTGTCTTCTTCTTTGAATGGGTTCTGCCCTCGTGGTTCTGCCCGTACCGGCCAACTTTATGTGATGATTAGGTGATATTTATTATTGTGACATTTTTTCTCCGGGTTTGGGATGTGTATGTGATATTGTATATTTGTAAAGGGATACAGGAGAACATGATAGTGTGGGGCAATATTTAACTTTTAAATCGTGGTAATTCGAGATACAATAGAAGAACAATGGGTGAGAGAATAATTATATATGTAAAGCCATGATTCTTGAAATAACTATGTAGATTTACCTATATACTTGCGTCAAGAATAGATAGTAATTTAATTAAAAATGTTCGTAAACACATCAGCTCTTACGTTCAGTATAAAACGATGAGTAAGCTAGCATTCAATCCAGTTTGTGTGTCAAAATTGTGTTTATATATGTACATTCCTGCTGCTCGACAAGCGTGAGAAAAATTCATAAAAAAACTTATTTTTAAAACGTCTACCCATGTATGTATGTATGTGCCTAAGCAAACTCATTACTCACAAAATTCTCCACAAACAAATTAAATTATAGTAGGTAATCAACTATCTTAGTTTAGGTTTCCCTTATAGATTCGAATCTACATTTACTTTGCGTAGTTGTGTATACAAACTTCATATTTTCTGCGTAGGTACGACTAAGTAACTACCAATTTATAATAATAATTACAAACGTGTTGTCTGACTGGTTTGTTTGTTTCTAGAAAGTATTTGGCGACACATGAAGCTTAGGAATTAATTATATTCAGGAACTTCTACTATATTTATCAAAACAGGATTGCATGACAAGCCTACTTCTTCGCTTCATAAATATGAGCCCCCAGTATGGCTTGAAATCAGTTGAGTTATCTCGCAAAATAGTCACGATGAAAGTTAGAATATAAAAGACTGCACGGTTGGTGCGGTGGCCGGGCAACTGGCTGCCATGCAACGTGTCGCGGGTTCGATTCCCGCACGGAACAACTCTTTGTGTGATCCACAAATTGTTGTTCCGGGTCTTGGTGTAATGTGTATGTTTTTTTTTTCTGTGTGAAAAAATAATAAAGAAGAAATTCGACTCATTTAAAATACGAATTATATATATATTTTAATGAAACAATATCTATAAATTGACTAAGACTTTGCTTAACTTTGTCTAGAGATAAACAAACATCGCCATCGAGTCAAGTAGTTTTTCAAAAAATATTTTGGTGGAAAGTGACTTTCGCTACTTCGGAGAATATAAACCACAATATTATGGATACAATAATACACCATACCTAGTACAGATATGGAGCAAATGATTTACGTACAAAACATAATCCTTTAGTCCGGATGTTGTTTGATATATAACAGGTAATTTATACCTGTTATCAATCTGGTATAACATATTGTGCGTAAACAAATACCGGTAGTATACCGGTAGCGGTAGTACGCTTAAAAGAATTCGGTATTTTGTTTTTTTTTTGTGTTGAAGTTTGAAAGTGTATCGTTGTTAGTAATTTTTTTAATTATTATCTCATGTTATTATTACATTTTCAATATAGAGTCGTCGCAACTACTGACTGAGGTGTAAGAGATCAAATTTCGGATTTCTATCGATTTTTTATTTATGAAATTCATAATTCAATGTTTTAATTATTTATGTAATTGGTCGGCAAACTAACAGACGGATTAGGTACCTGATGGTAAGCAATCAGCGCCACCCATGGACACCCGCACCCGCAACGGTGGAGTTACAAATGCATTGCCGACCTTTTAGGGATTAGAGATTTGGAGATTTAGGTATTGGGGGAGGGAAAGGATTGGGCCTCCGGTAACCTCACTCACACGGCGAAACACAACGCTGTGGTTGTTTCTCACTGGTTTTCTGTGAGGCTGTGGTATCACTCCGTTCTAGCCGACCCATTCGTGCCGAAGTACGACTCTCACACACTTAGTGTGGTTTAATGTTCATCTTTATTAATATTATGTATGTATATGCATCTTTATTTGCTACACGGTTTTTTGTAGTATTTTTATGTGATAGGGTGGCTAACAAGCAAATGGATGACCTAATGGTAAGCAATCAGCGCCGTTTATTGGAACTCCCCAAGAGGGTTACAAGATAAGGGAAGGAAATTTTGAGGTGGGGGCAAAGGATTAGGCCTCCACTAACCTCATTCACGTGAGTTTTCTGTCAGTTTTTGTGGAGTCGCCTTCAGTTACTTATAATTTTGTAATGAATTAAAGAAAAAAAAAAGATTTTTGTATTTATTTTAATCCCTAGTAGTACATACGTTAATTTTTCACAATGAATATAACAATTTATTTTACTTAATATTAGTAATACTGTTTAATTACTTATAAAAGTAAACAATAGGTAAATAAAATTAATACTTTTCTGTAGTTAAGATAAGATAGGTACATTTGTAACAATTTATAAAATTATAAATATTTACAAAACCTTTTACTATGTACAAACAAAGGCACTAAAATAAAATAAAACCAAACCAACCTTTGTAACCAAAAACAATATTAAACATTTTATAATTAATATAAATAAAAAATAATCACGATACGAGCAATAGTTACAAACTCGCAAAATACCAATTTCTTTTATTGTACATAAATTTTTACTTAACAAATTTACTGAGTTGAAGTCTTAGAGAAACTACTTGATATAAAACACGGATAAAAAAACTACACAAAAATAACTTAACAATATCTCTGGTCTGTTCTTTTATTGAATTAGAAAATGACGTCTACAATATTTTATCTTATAGAATTTAACATTTGTTTTTTTTATTTATATATAAATACAGACTGGTTAAATAACAGAAATGATTTTGTGCCTTTAAAAGCATTTTCCCTTTGATCCAATCTTCTGATCACCAGCTGTCACTTCTTGGTGGTGGGGCTGGTGGCCTGAAAACAACGTAGTCGACCTCTTCACATACCTAATTATTTTATTAAACTTACGGTCCGGTCCAACCCTTTTTTATTTACATTATTTGAGTAGATAATCATGAAATGGCTCTGGCGTGTGTGATGCAAGAAGGACTGTCAAAGTCTTACTGTCTAAAAACCTCGTTTCAACTTCTGCTCCAAGCCACACATGCAGCCAATAACAAAATATTGTTCTTTTTTCAATTTTAAGTTCAGAATAAAAGCCTCTTTCAAAAAAAGAGTACCCTGAATTAGAAATGGTGATTGAATGACGGTGGTATCTACCTTAATACAATGTACTTGAGTGCATAATGCTGTGACTATTTAAGATCTATATGTGAATCACTAACCCGGGCGTGTTCCAGTTACTACCGTCACATAAAGCAGTGGTTGGCGTTTCTTGTTGCCTGAAAATATTATATTAATTAATAAAGATAACATTTGCTCAGAGACAATTTCAACTATAATATTTAATTATAACTCTGATTTGCTCGTGTAATTGTTTGACTAGTCAACTCGTCTAGTTTCAAGCTACGCTCAGGACTTATAGTCATGTATTCATCATAGTCATCTCTTTATGAACAGTAAGAAAGTCTTTAGACCAAATCAATGTACTAAATATGTCTTCCGAGAGTAATAAGACAAAACAAGTTATAATGTTTTGACTCAGTAAGCTAAATGTCTATTACATTAGTCTCAACTAAGTTAGCTTAAACTAAAACAACATAAATAACTGTGAATGGTCGGTTGTTAGTAAAACTTGTACTAACCCGGAGCCCAAGTTAGCAAGCATCATAGCTTCGTGTGCCCTAATTTTCCTTCCATACGACCGCCAAAGTTTCACACAAAGTGGTGTTAGTGCGGCACACCATGCAATGCCGAGGAAAAATCCGCAGACCCACCAACCGTGCTGAAAATTATGAACAAGTTATAATGGCTAACTAAATCAATGTTCGGGCAGCCGCTGGCGAATGCCGGATCAAAAATATCGATTAGTCGGTCAGAATAAAATAGACAACCAAAAATTTATGGAGCTTTTTGGTTTTAAGAAAATTCTTTGCAGCGGAACGGGGTCCAGTACTATGTATGGTGTTAACAATAAGGTAAAACCCTGTCATGGTTCTGAAAAATGTATCTCTGAATTCTTTATTATGTGGCTTAGAAGAAAAATAAAAATTTTTTTTTTGCAAAAATATTTTAAATTTGGACGTCCTCAAATTTTGCAGTGAAGGCTTAATTATCTCTAATCGTTATAAACGAGGTTTAAATTTCAATTGTTATTTCTTAAATTGTATCCATACCGTGGGTAAGTGCCCTGGAGACCTGAAAAACAGGGTTTTCCCTATTTTAGGCTCCAGTCCACCCCATAATCTACTACTACTATATCTATGTAGAATCTGTAACAACTTAAATTGTACCTGTAAAATATATGGTGGAATTTTTTTTATATTAATTTAATTTTAATTTATTATATATTTCTTACCAAAGACGAGACGTATTGGGAGCACAGCAGAGATCTCGCTGCTGCATACACAGAGTACAAAGGTTTACATCGAGCGGCGTGTTTGCTGGTTGAAATGAGTACGTGTGTCCTCCAGCCAGCTGCATGAGACACCAGACGGGATATGTATATCGATACTTTCTGTAACATTATGAATTAATAAAAAGTTAAAAAAATAATAACAATGTGCATTTTTTGTATTGCAATTATTACGGCTTGTTTTATTCGAATAAGAGCGGTATATTAAAAAACTTTGATTTTAGCAAAGTTGTCATGCTAAAAATATTTTACAAAACTTGTGTAATAGCTGTAAAATTTTGAAGAAATATTATACATATTTTGAATGGACGTTTGGCGCGGTGGCTGGGCAACCAGATGCAGCGCTAAGTGTCGCGGGCGTGGGAACAATTTCTGCACGGAACGACTTTATGTGTGATTTACAAATTGTTGTTTCGGGTCTAGTAGTTGTGTGTATGTGTAATTATAATGTTTATAAACGCACTAACGGCACAGGATAAAACATAGTGTGGGTATTTTTTTGAATACTTAGGACATTCTTTAAATTTAATAAGTGGTCTTTACCTATGAAATTGCCGATTTGCATAAAAAAAAATTTAAACGAATTTTTTAATTTGAAATGCGATGAAAATGTAACACTAATCAATAAACAAATGACTACTCTTGGAAAAAGAATCGCATGTTTTTAAAACAAAATTAATTAACCTTAGCCTAACAAAAACTATTTTGATTTGAAATGGCCAGTACAGCATAACGGCAATTTCATAGGAAAGACCTATTATTTCGATTATATATTTCAGCGATATGATGAGTTGATAACAATCAATCGACGTCTAATGTCAACCGAATTTAACAAAGGAGAAGTATTTATTAATCCTTTTGTAATCTAAATTAGGTTTTACTTACTTTCTGAGCAATAACATCACCCTGGTTATCGATATAAAACTGCGCAGTATGGATGTGGCTTAGCGAAATGTTTAATTTTCTCCTAAAAGGTAACAGTTGTAGTTCTAATTCTGTCAATTTGAAGACCACATCAGCTCGTAACTGTTCTAGTGGTTTGATGTTCGTGAGATAAAGCCTCTGTGTGCGTGTTGCTGAAACGGAATCAATTGAGGTTATAAGCACAAATTAAATAAGTTAATTATAAACTAGAAGTTATTTTGCTTTAATATCTTATCATTTGTTATGTAAAATCATTTGCATCTATACTAATATTATAAAGAGGTAAAATTTGTAAGTTTGTATGTAGGGGGTAATCTTTGGAACAGCTGGTCGGATTGCCAAAATTCTTTCACTGATAGATAGCTACAATGTTCCTGAGTGCTACAGGCTATAAAACACCTCGCTACGATCAAATGGAGCCGAGCAGCGGGCGAAACCGCGCGAGAGAATAACTTATATGACCAATCAAGAGTCGTCGGGGCCCAGAGGTAAAAGCCTTTTGGTAAAAGGATGCGGGATCGAAACCTGGCAAGTACCATTGTGACTTTGTCCGAGTTATATGTACTTTTTATGATTAGTTAAACATATACGGTGAAGGAAAACATCGTGAGGAAACCTGCACTTATTATATTAATCAATAATTTCTAATCCTAAGTTTGAAATCGCCAATCCGCCTTGAGCAACCGCAGTGATTAATGCTCAAAACTTCTTCCTGTCCTTGAGAGAAGAGGCCTTTGCTCAGGCACTTAGAATGCTCATGATAATGATGATACGATCAATCAGCTATCAACATCATGAGCTAAAGGACGCACTCTTTAAGGCCTGATTTACCACCTTCCTATTATGAGGTACCTGATAAACTAACAGTGGTATACATAGTATAATAATGTGAGATCACACAATATTACTAGACAGAAATAAAAGACGAACCTAAAGTTTCTAGTCTCCCTGCGGTAGTAAGATCCGTCACTTGAGCAGCTATGTTTTCCAGTTGATCCACAAGAGACGGTAAGTCCTTACTAACAACTGGAACGTTGTAGTCCATTCTAGAATAACAAACAAACATGATGTTGAATACAGATTGCAAATATAGATATACCAAAAGCTGTTTTATATAGTTGAAAAAATAAATATAATTTATATTATGTTCATAAGTGACAAAACCTAAAAATAAGAAAACTACTAACCTAATTTTGATGAAATAATAGTTCTCATAAGCAATGTGTCAAAATCAAATTGATTAATTTATTTAAAAAAAAGAGAAACAACTTAATGATTTTACGTTTCATATAAACTTAAAGTCCTGGTTATCGCGTCTATCGATGTTCATAATTTTCTTTTGGTTTTTGATGTTTTGAGTATTTCCATCAAATCAGATTATTGCATTTCACGGCTTTTGACTTGAAAGTTTATATGAAAATCTTTTCCATGTCATCGGCAACAAAATGTAGCAAACTAACTTAAATATTTGAAATCATGATTTTAAGGAAGTGTGGAAGAGCCATGCTCAAGTGTGAGAGAGCCATGCTTCGGCACGAATGGGTCGGCTCAACCGGAGTGATACTACGGCCTCACAGAAAACCGGCATTAAACAACTACAGTGTTGTGTTTCACTGTGGTCCTGTGTCCATGGGCGGCGCTGATTGCTTACCATCCGTCCGTCTGCTCGTTTGCCGACCTATTACATAAAAAAAGGATCTCATAAACACTTTCTTAAGTATTCTTACCTATATTTAGCGATATCGACATCAGATACAAGTAACATTTCATGCAATAATCGGCTGAAGTTAACAGAGATCGTCTTCAGAAGACCAACGTCTATCGAGGAAGCCAATTTCCCAAAATCGGTTTGTAGTTCTTCCCATTCAAAGTATGAGGTTTCCTTGTTGACATCTAATATTTTGTCCAGTTGAAAAACAGAGTACGCTGGTCTATCTTTTTCACAGTCCCTGAAATAGTTTGTGGTCACAAATAGTTGCATGATTGCACTGTTTACGCGGTATGTTACGGGTGTGATATGAATGTCAAATTGTGTGTTTTTTTATGGAATAGGAGGCAAACGAGCAGACGGATCAACTGATGGTAACCGATCGGCGACGCTCAGGAACACCTGCAACACCAGAGGAGTCACAGGTGCGTTGCCGAAAAAAGTGATCGTAGGTTTACGATCACTTCTGTGACCGTAAACTTATGATACTTATTATATATATACACGTGGGTATGTACACATCACGACACAGCAGAAAAACCTAGTGCCATGCATAGTATCATAAAAAAATGGAAATGTATTGCTGGTATTAAATATCTGCAACCCGATTATCACAAAACTTTTTATGTGAAGAAACCCTATATTTCGGCAGTGCACGGTTACTGTATTTTAATGATAGGATATGCATGCGTGATGTTATGTTATCGACATGAAATTACCTCAACACATCTTTAACAGATACATCGATAGTTATATTGTCCATTTCTCTGAACATGGCGTCAAAGATCCCTTCGTTGTTTGCCAAAAGTGGTGATGGTCTATCGAGTAGGGCGGTGAGCGTTTCGTATTGAGAATCCCATAAGGCATGGCATACGTAAACCTGAAAACAGTGTGAAAAGTCAATGATAATGTTCTAGTGTGGACTTTTTTAGTTCCATTCGATGGACTTCTTTTCCTGTCATAGTAAATTGTTGGTTTTTGGTAGCGTCAGACACTTGCTGACTAAAAACAACCCCGTTTCTTCTTCTACTCTAGATGTACGCTATATATGTACGCGCTAGCCTCGCAACCCCCGAACATCGACCCCATCTGTGGTGGTCTATTGGCTCTTTGAGGAGCGCGCGGATCTGGTCGTTTGGTGAGCTACTCTTTCACGTCGGTTGAGAGCTTTCATTTGGGGTGCTTCTTTTATTTTACTTCCCTGTGCGTGTCAATATAAAATTTTGTTTGTTGCCTCATCTGTTACTGTACCTTGTTTTTGAACATTACAATGAGATTAAAATATCTAGCACTGCTACAAACGCAAAAATAGTTTCGGTCTTAGAAATGCTCCAATAAATATATCAAGTAGATAGCGAAGCACACAGATCAGAAGTTTTAGCAAAATCTTAACATTCCATCTAGAATTAATTAACTAACTGAGTGCACAACCATAATAATATGCGCTAACTTAAGTGTAACTTCATGAAACTTTACTTGGAACAGCATACGTAAATAATTTTGTAGACAAACTTAGCTTTAAGTTACCAGTGATGCATATTACGTACAACTTACTCACTTAACGTACTTCGAACGCCTTCAAAGAATTACTTAGCAATACACACGAGAGCGATTTTCACAACTCGGGGAGCAAACGATTTTTTCTACTTTGATTTTATTGTGTGTGTGTAATTTGAAATAGTCAGGTTTTTTTTTTCAACTTACTTCTGCATGACCAGCTATTAGGAACACAGCTGATATAATGCCCCATAACATTAGCGACGCGAGACATAACCAGATAGCTGATCTGGAATGTTTAATTTTGTTTTGAAACTCAGGTTTTGTCTTCTTGAACAAATTGTATCAATTACAAAATTACTAACAATTACATAATTGATATGCAATCACAAGAACAAGAATATATGTGTTCTATATGTCATTTGATTGCCATTTGATTTTCTTACTAAAAAATATTAAAGATTTTTATAAAATTACTCACACTTTCAAAGTCCGTCTTGCATGATTCTTGGCGTGACCACAGCCGCAAAGCATACCCATTATAATAAGCAACATGACGAATCCAAAAGTAACGATACAGGCTGGAAATAATTATAAAACATTGATACACACTATTTTAAAATATATTACCGTAGACATAAGCATTAAAAATGCTTAGCTTTAAAAACGTTTCAAGTTAAACTATACCTAACATAAGTGTCCACCTTGCGAACTCGTATCTTTGTACTCTCTCGAGACTTGATTCCAGTTGTCTTGCAATAGTATGAAGACCAGACGTCAGATGGCGCACAATGTCGCTAAGGACTTTAGCAGACATATGCACCGCTTGCCTACGGTTTTCAATGTCTCGGAGAATATCTGAGAACATGAAAGTAGAAAAGCGTTTTTAGCAATTTAAAGTGAATTGATCAATGCCATATCCATTTTTGCCACTAAAATATTATTTGAATTGGGGCTGATTTCAATTCAATTGTTAGATAAACGTTATCTGGGGAATAATTATGATGATGTCGCGTCAGAATGTTTGTATAAGACAGTGACAGCAACAATTTTATTCCTCATATAACATTAATCGGACTATTAAAAATTAAGCCTTTTGTAAAACATGGTACAAATAATACGCGTAGTATAGAAAAATGTATCCAGATTTTTGTCGCCTTTTTGTTACGGTCTGGCATTAAGTAAAATATTGTTCAAGGAATTTGAGTAAAATTATTTAAGTGAAACATAATCGTTTTAATCTTAAAGTAGTTGAGTGCTACGATTTAATCCAGTAACAATGATAAAAATAACTGTAACAATAGGTAAAGAACCCAAGAGATTTTTTTCCTTACACATTTTCAGTATTTCATTATATTAAAGTAACATTAATGTTTACCTTCCCGGACTTGTGTGGTTTGCGCCAGTATGGCCGAGGGCAAAGTTTTGAACTCTTGTCTGGCTGCAGATATCGCTCGTGTTAAATTATCCACCCCAAGAGTACGGAGTTCCAATAACTGTTGCTCGTGCAGGATCTGAAACATTACGTTGGACATGTTATACTTAGATATACTTAATAGAGGTAAAGTAATATTGATCGAAGTAGTGGACTTGATGTTTGAATGTTTCTCGACTACGATGCATTGAAAACGTGACCTGACCTTACAAAAACTAAGTAATTTTAAGGTAATTTAAACATCTTTTATGTTATGTTTTCCGACACCTTTTATTTAAAAAAGTCTTTGCCCTTGACATGGATTTCCTCCTGTGTAATGGACGAGTTTATAAATATACAAGTTCACATACACATCACATCGGAAATAACAGTTTGTGGATCATACAAGTGTTGTTTGTGCACTACGCCAATAGTGCAACCAAAACCTTTTATGTTTTAGTACGTGAGTTTTTGGTTTTCTACTTTCTTCATTTAATGTTTTCTCATACAGGTTAGTCATTAGCCTATAAGAGCTGACCAAAGGCCTCTTTTAACACAAAGAAGGTTTGGTCATTAATCACCACGCTTACTCAAGGCGGATTGCCGATTTCAAATTTATAATTAGAAATTATAAGTCCAGGTTTCCTCACGATATTTTCCTTTACCGTACGTCAGTCGTGTAAATAATCATAGAAAGTACATTTAACTCAGAAAAGATTACATCGGTATTTGCCAGGTTTTGAACCCATGCATGTGAAGCGGGCGTCTTAACCTCCGGCCCACCACGACGGTAGTAAGTAGGTGCATGGTTAATACATATTACTTAAATTAAAACAGATAACATTCTTCTTACCAAATCAAACTTCATTTTCAACTCAAGAGAGTGAATATTGATTGTGTCACACAGAGGAGTATCCTTCAAAGTGCAGTGTTTCTTCAAATTCTCGAGCTGCCGAGCCAAGTCCTTGATCCTGTCTGACGCTGCAGATGCCAATGAACCAGCCTTGATGCTCACATCTCTTAGTGAAGATATCTTAGTGGAAAGATCTTCACTCTCTGAAAATAAAATAAGAAGTGTCTTAAAATTTAATTTAATTGAAAATAAAATAAAATTGTGTACTTACTTATTATGTTTATAATTTTTGTAAAGGATTTTATCAAATTTTATATAATTATTTTTTTAATTGAAGTTTTTGAACTTTGAAATTCTTTCGTTTTTTGGGAAAGAAAAAATATTAGATAATTCATTCTGGCGTTTTAATCTATGCTTTGTGTCTATAATTATAAATATTATTTTACCTAATTCGATTAAAATTATAGCTATGAATTAATCTTACTTAATTTTTTTACTCATTTAACAACAAAGATGAAGGCGATTATATATGTATTTTTTCTTGTAAACTTTAATCTTTCGAATTTATTAATT